AAATAAAAAGAGAAGAATTTTTAATTAAAACTAATTAAAAAATAACAATTTAAAATAAAATTTACCAAGATATGATATGCTAAAGCATCTGACTTACCATAAACAATCAATATAAATCTTAAATTATTATACTTTTAAGATAATTACCATTCATGTGACAATAGAACTTACTATTCTTTTTAATATACTTTCTCTAATGAAAGCTCACCAAGGATATATTAATAATATAAAGATTACAATTTATTGATAATTTGTATATATATATAGGCATTACATAAAGTCAAATTTCTACTGCTATTTCATTCATGAATTGCTATTTTGTCTAAAAATTGGTCCTTACTTTAAAATTTCTTCAACTCAGAAATAAATAAGAAATTGGAGTGCAAAACTAAGATTAATTATAATTTTTAGAAATAAATCAAGAACCATACATGATTGGATTATCATGTTAAAATGCTAGAACTATTATAGCATACAAAATGTAAATTCTAACATCACATATGAGATAGAAACCAAAAATCATATTGGTCCCTTAAATACTCATCCTCCTAAAGCATTGAACCAAAGGATTTTGAATAAGATAATTTTAAAATATTCTTAAAAGTTTTTGGTATTCATCTTCGTGAAGATGAAATCTCCTTCATAACAATCTAATTTTTCCAAATAAATCTGATATTTCAAACTACCATATCCTTCACCCAGCCATACTTCATATGCCTGAGGGCAAAAAATAATTATAAATATTAAAAAGGGACGCAGGCCAAATGCGAAAAGTTAAAATATTAGCTATGCTCATCATGCCTGCTCACTCACAGCAAATATTAGCTGTGCTCACCATGCCTAGCTGCTGAAAGAAACTTGTCCTCCAAAAACACTTGCAAATTCTTTAACTTCAAAAACCAATGGCTTCTCCATCAAATTTGAGAAGAAATGCCAACATGATCAACTCAGAAAGTGAATTTATGTGATCTTTTTCCCAAAGAACTCAGATCAACCTTCAAATGTTATTGAAACAAAATAAACTTCAAACTTCAAAGGTCTATTAGATTTTTTAGAGGCAGAATTACATTAATTTTACATTTGTAACATGAGTAAAGAAACAAAAAAACCACATAACTGTATAGAAAAATAAAAAATGATAGTTTTTCTCTACACAACTTAAAGTGATATTTAGCTATTTATTCTTTAATCATGGATAAAGAGTTACTAACTTCAGTTATAATATTGAAAATTATGCTAAAAAATTCTTAGAAGATTAGTAAATCATGAAATTAGATGTAAAATTGATGTAATAAATGATATACATTAAGTAGGATTAAGGATTCATATCACAAAAAATATACTAATGTGCTCAACCACCACATAATCTCTTAAATTGCTAACAGATATAAGGTTTGTTTAACCTGTCTTTTAAGCACAGAGATTAAATGTATATTAAATATATTTTTTATTATAAATTTATATTAAAAAATAAAAATTAATTTTTAATTTATCATTTAT